ACCTTTAATGTAATCTATTGTAGGGCCATAACCCAAACAGAAATGAGTAAGCGCGATTAATAAGGCTCTGTTAATTCTTTATATATGTGCTGGAGAATTTATCCTGAAGAAGGGCTAAAGGAATGAATATTCTCAGCCTTATTGTGCCTTTCTTTCTTACCAGAATGACATTTTAACTTAAGAAAATGCTAGTCGTTATTCTACGTTATGATATGGGAACTGTTAATTATGTAAAGTATATACACTTAAATTTTGTATGCATTTTGATTTAACAAATCCCATTTCCACTATTCAAATTAACCATATTCTCTTATAGGTGGATACAGTCATTAAATAAAATTAGTAATATTGATTGGATCTAAAACTTAAACCAAGAACTAAAATAACCTCAAGATTTATCTAAATCTAGATTTAAATAATTCTGTAAAAAAAAAAAAATCCGGGTGCCTGGGCAATTCAATCAGTTAAGCGTCCAACTCTTGATTTCTACTTAGGTCGTGATTTCAGGGTCATGAGCTGGAGCCCCAAGTTGGGCTCTGCACTCAGTGGGGATTCCACTTGAGATTCTCTCTCCCCCCACACACACTCTCTTAAATGGATGAATGAATGAATGAATTTTTTTTTTTTTTTTTTTAGAGATTCTGTTTGGGAGATTGAATGAGCAGGGCAAGGGACAGAGGGAGAAGCAGGCTCCCTGCCGAGCAGGGAGCCCAATGTGGGACTTAGTCCCTGGACCCCTAGGATCATGACCTGAGCCGAAGGCAGATGCTTAACCAACTGAGCAACCCAGGCGCCCCATGAATAAATCTTTATAAACAAAACAAAACAGATCTGTGAAGGATCACTCCTAACCTTGGAAGCAGAAAGGGGAATCACCAAGAAAAAATGGACAGAGTCATCTATATAAAAGTATTAAATTTCTGAACTATGAGAAATATTAACTCAGGAAACCAATAGATGTTTTTCTTAGCATTTAATATAACCTTCTCTCACAGTCTATCTTCTCAGTGTCTGTGATCCTGCTTACATAATTTTGCTAATGTCTGTGTTGTAAAAGTTCTAGTAAATACCAGAAAAATATGGAGGTTCCCCAATCTCCTGATTCTCCCACCTCTGCCCTGGGAAGTAGGCACGTGCAGGTGTATCACACAGAGGGATGAACAATAAAGACCTAAAAGCCCATCCTCCCAAATTGCATCACTTTGTACCTTTCACATTACAAAAATGGTAAGCATACTATGTAAAATTTTGGGGAGACTTTGTGTTTGCAAATAGTACGTTCAAATTGCTGGTGGTAGTGTTCGTGCATGTGACTTTAGAGTGACTGTCGTGCATTTAAGCATTTAAAAATGATAAGGCAAATAAGAAAAAAAAAACGGTAAGGCAAGTTATAGGTACTGAAATTCTTGTGTGTTGAAATATTGGGCTCAATCCAGAGGAAGTTATGAACCTGAATGGAAGCCTTTATAAAGAGATGTTTCTATTTTCTGCTTTTTAAGTAGTTTGCTTTCCTATACCCTTTGCAAAGAGCAGATGGATGAAAAGAAGGGCTTTTAAGATTACTGGCTACTGTGAAAATAATTTGGTGATTGTGCATTTATATTCAGGTCTCAGCCATCAGACCTTTCTGTAACTGAAGGCTCCTTTAATCCCTCCTTGTCACCAGAACTTTAGAATTTTTAAAATTTAAAATTTTTTTTAAATTTGTCACCAGAATTTTAGAATTTGAAATTTTCTTGCCAATGCATATAGGAAATAGCTAAATTGAGTTGTGTATGTCATTATTTTTTGCTTGTGGAAATTAATGTCATGAGAATAGGCTTCCTGAAGTTAACATAATTAAGCAGTCTAAAATGGTCCAATTCTGGTTGGATTCTACCCCAAGTTTGGATTGCCACTTGGAGCTTTGTTGGCCGTTGACAGAGAAAGTGGTCTGTATTTCATGTTTGAAAATCAAGGAGCCTAAAATCCCATTGCGCTTCAAGTGAAGACCTGTTGCCTTGTAATGCCGGAGTCAGTTAGAATCGAGACACTTCCCAGGGACCTGAGACTTGTACTCGCTGGACAAGGGCTGTCTTGGCAGAGAGATGCTTTACTTTGCCCAATTGTTAAACTTGTGGAGGATGCCTAGAGTTTGGAGGATATAGAAACTCTCTCTGTCCCCAAAGAGCTGATCCTTTTGATGAGACAGGGGAATCACACAAATCAAAGACCGTGATGGGGGGTCACATGAGGGCCCATTTCCTTTATCCGTTTACCCCTCTCAGCTTCTGACTTAACAGAGGAGCACTGAGAAAAATTAGGTGGCAACAACAATGTTGGCCTCATCTGGGGAAACCTGGAAAGGGGCCATGTGCATGGATTGAATATGTATATTGATCTGGGGACCATGACACAGCAGAAATCCTGAAAAGGCCATTTTGTGACTCTTTGGAGCCAAAGGTGGATGTGATTGATGGAGAGGATAGCTTGTGAAAAGGGACCTGGAAGGGAGCAAAAACATTCATCTTGGAGATCAAAGTTACTGGATCCATGCCTTAATCCAGAAGGAAAAAATATTCAGGATCTTCTCTCTCTGTCTCTATTTCCCTCTTTCTCTCTCTAATTTTAATCAAGTACTAAATAGGAATTTTTTGGGAAAAACTTTTCTGTGGTTTCTTTCAAGCAGATGATAGAAAAATCTGTTGACACACCCATTCCCCCAATCGGTATGACCTTTACATTGAAGAACAGCCCTAACTTGAAGAGCCCAGGTAGTGAAGTAAATGCAGTTCTGCCCTTAGTGCCTGTATCCTGGTAATAGAGCAGAGAAAGTCTGCAGGGTTCTAGATGTTGATGATCTCCATTTCGGTGCCTTTGTTTAGAACTGATGTTGGGGTAAAGGAGGTGGTTGTGTGTTTCTGACTCATGGAATCATAGTATTTATACTTTTCTAAGCCTCCCTGTTTCTCTTAGGTGAAGCTTCCCCCCCCCCATTAGAACAAATGGGTGGCACTGCCCAGTCGGGCTGCCTGGAGACTGATGAAAATCATTTGTGAGGTTACTAGTAGATGAGACGATAAAGGTCTATGCAGTGAATTCATTGGGTATTTGGTGCATGCCAGACCGTTCGAAGTTCTAGGTAGACAGCAGTGAACAAAACCAAAAAGCTCTTTGCCCTTGAGCAGCTGATAGGATGGGGACAGCTGAGCAAAAGGAAAAAATACAGATACTAAATGAGGATCAATGCCTTGGAGAAGAGCAGGGAAGGTGGGTGTGCAAGCTCTGTCTTCACGTTTTACACCGATTGTGGAGGGCCGCTGTGGGGCCGCGAGGATGGAAATCCACAAGGAGGGGTGGAAGCCCCGGAGTGATGTGACCCTATTTTTATCTTCACAGACCACACGGGCTTCTGTCCTGAGACGGCGAGGCAGGATCAGGGAGGCCATTGCCATGTTGCCTGTCACCTTGGAGGTGGCGGGGCCCGGGCTCTGGCCTCTGCTGTCGTCCCTGCTCTGTGTATTTGTTCTTCCAGGTACTGGGGGCAGTCATCAGTTTTCTCAGGAGTTAGTCTAACCTTCGTACTTAGACTGTCAAACCTTCATATCTAGACTGTCATTTTCATGTTGCAGTGTCGAGAAAATGGGAAGCTTTTATTCTTAAGCGAGTGTTATTTCAAGATGCTTTCTGCTGCCTGTGTCATGCCAGGATGTGGGTGGATTTATTTTTGCAGTTTTGCACCAGGGAGTCTGCTTCTGATTTGCAGATCGCATTTATTATAAGGCATCTTGTCCATTGATGAATAATGTGTGGGCTACAAGGCAGATCCATGGCTTTTAATTAAAAATAACTCATTTATCCCGCAAGGTTCACCCCCAGAGAGAGGCAGCCCCTTCCAAAGTGTTGTCCGGGAGCAGGGGTTTTTCCATCCGTCTTCCCATTTCTGAAGTCCCTTGGTTGCGTCCTCTGGTTCATCTTGTGTTTCCCTGATGGGCTGAGAACTTGAAACAGACCCACACGATCTCGGTTCATGGAGAGGATCTGAGATGGGGAGAGAACTTTTAAGTCGCTTTAAGGAAGGAGATGCTCGTTGGTCTCAGCTCCTGAGAATTTCCCGTATAACGTGGGTTGAGACAAAGGGAAATACCAGGCGTCATGCTTTGTCCTGAAGCTCCGTAGCTATAGCCAGTCTATCCTCCTTGCTCTGAACTGACCAACTGAGGCCTGGGTGGAGGTTCTGGGTTTGGAGGGGGCCGATGGAGTCCTCAGCAGGAAGTTCCATTAGTGAGAACACTCCTGGGGACATTATCGCCACCTCACGGCCACAAAAGGGTCATGGGCAGGGTGTAGGGCACGAAGGGGTTCCAGGCCACCTCCCTTACCGAGTGGAGCCCTGTGATTCTAATGATCTTTGCTCCCAGAAACCTCACTGCAGATTGCTTTTCCTTTTGAGCAGGTTTCTTGTTTGGCCTACTATGTTGCAATAGGCTCTCAGTGGCCAGGTGGCATCTGTTGGAATGCTGGTGCGTGTTGCCAAGCAAAACAGATGCAGGAAGATTTGCCTGAAGTGGGGGGAAGAAGGGAAGGCGGAGTAGGGAGGAAGTGGGAGGCAGGTCGTGCTGGGGACGGGAGTGGGATTAAACCATATTTATCTATAGAAGGGAGCGCATTGCTTTCTGCGTCTCAAAAAATCCTTTTGGGTTCATGCAAGTATTTCCAAGCCTGTTGAATGCCTCTTTTTTCATGGCCCACCCGACATTCAGAATGGTATTTAAATGGTTCAGTACAGCAGAAAGAATTACTGACCTGCTGCCTAGTGCAAGCCACTGGCTGTCGGGTTTTTAATTTTATTTTAATTTATGGCTATTTCTGCCTATTAATAGGTTGACCCTTAATGGAATACAGTCTGCAAAGGATGGTGCAGACTGGATAAAAGGAATCTCACTGATTCTCATTATCCAGCTCATTAAAGGATTCTGGGACCGTGTGTGGTTTTACTAATGTGGGAAGGTGTGGGGGGCTGGGAAGGACACTGTACCCCAGTGATGCTGATGTGCAGTCAGGGTGAGAACTAGTCTAAGAGCTTAATGCTAGTAAGAACCTAAATCTTGATTTTCTTCATAAACCTTGGTGTCAGTGCTGATCCAGTGCATTTATCTTCACATGGGCCTCCATCAGCAGGCCACAAAATAAGTTTCCATTCAAAGGAGGCTGTACAGTACCACCTGTGCATTAAGAACAACAGAATGTTCCAGCTGAATATTTGCAAATGTATATGGAAAAAAGCTTGTATCCCAAAATAGCTTAGAATGAAAGGGATAATTTTCTCCTCAGTTTCTAACTGCAAGAAGTAAGTGAAAGTGGGATTCTAATTCAAGACTGGCAAGACCGGTCTATCCTGTTCTGTCTTACTTGCAAATACCACTTTTTCTCCAGGTAAACAAAGTAAATACAAATTGCATGCATTTTTGTGCCATTTGCAAACTCCTCTTCTTGAAAGCATTGACCAATTGTCCAGTGTTCATGAATTTCAGAAAAGGGGTCATAGGTAGTCTCTTCTTTATAGTATTTAACGCCGAGTATTAAAAATGCAAAGGACCATAAAGGTCGTGTGGGCCAGTGTCTTTTTTTTTTTTTTTTTTTTTTGCAGTTTTATACCTTTATTTGACAATCAGCGAAGTGTGGTGTTTTGTCCAAGGACACACGGGAAGGTGGTAGCCAAGCTTGGGTATCGGGTGGCCTGATGCCCAAACCGCTGCTCTTCCTGCTTCCCCCAGCACGGGAGAGTAGTAATTAGAGCTGAATCTTAGCCATCGGGAGTCTTTTGCAAATGAACTGCCCAAAGACCGTTCACCCTGTTCTAGGGCTCTCTTTCAAGCCTTCTTTAGTAAAAGGCCAAAGATTTATGCGATCTGAAGAGAAACCAGAGCATACTCAAGCCTCCTTAAGGAGAATACTAGGAACATACATCAGTAAACATTTTTTTTTTTGACTCACTGTTATCCTCAGAGCTATAGATTATTATATAATCTCATCTTTGTGTAAATAAATATTTTTCAATGATGCCATCAGGGTCTGATAAGATATAATCCACTTTTCTTCGTCCTTAAAGTTCTCAGGACACCTGTGATCTGTGAGCGAAGCTTGCTATTTTTGTTCATTTCTCATTTCCCTTGCTAACCCGTTACCCCTTCTTGGGCCTGTCACTGCGGCTAGCCCACCTCCGTCTTCTGATTGGCTGCTTCTCGAAATCTGCTGAGGACGGAGAAGGTGTTTGGGTGTGCCTGGTAGGATTGTTTATAAAGTAAGAATAAATAGGTTTCGGGTAGGGGTTTGAGTCATTCTTTTTGAATTGAGGGCCTGTGATCTGTTCCTCCCCCACATCTTTTTGCCTGTTACACTCCTTGTCCTCTTGGAGCTCGTCCGGAATCATAGATTGTTGTAAGATTTCAGTTTAAACATTCAGTGGGATAGTCTGTGCTGGCGTGTAGCATAGTTCCTGGCACATATTAGTACTTAATAAATCTTAGCTGTCTTTATTGTTCCTTCTGAAGGAGAAGCTGTAAACTCTTCACAGGTGTTAGGGATTGGATAGGTTCATTGCCCATCAACAGAACTTATATTGGCAAACATATTTTTAGTTTATTTTAGTTTTTTAGTGGCTATCTGGATTTTGTCCTTCTCCTTTAGGGTTACTACATTTTCTACTATGCTGAATGTAAGAACCATGGAAAAAAATGAATAAAAAGCGTTCTTAAAAAAGATTTTATGATTCATTAGATTAACAGGTGTCAGCAACTTTCATTTTCATGACTTAAGTTAAAAGGACTTTAAAGGCTTTGGTGGTTTATTCTCCTCTTTTTTTTTTTAAAGGCCAAATCAAGATCACTTTTGTAATGGCTGCCTTTCCCCTGGGTACATTTTCCGAAAAAGTTATTTCTGACTTTCACTAAACCCACACAGAGTTGTCATCATTTAAGTTACCCTTTAGATCTCTATAAATTTTTAAAAAACCAAATCATAAATCAAGATGTGCAGGTGATTGGGGATCACTAACATCATCAACAGTCATATAATTGTACCTATTGATTGTGTAGCGCTTTTGAGTGAGATTGAAAATGTAGGCACCTGGCACTTTCCCGGATAGGTCATCTTGGATTGTTTGTTAAGAATTATATTAAAATTAATCTCTTTTGTGCATCTTCCCCTCTTCACACTGAATGTGCCACTCTCATCTGAATTTCAGGAGTCTATTAATAAAGTGTGTGTAAAGAATTAGTTGCTAATTTTGGATGTGCTTGAAAGGAGTTTGTCAGCAAATTACAACTTCAAACATAGGACTGCAGTTTGTTAAGGATTGGACATCATCCTTGGTGTGGAAGATAAATTCCAAGCTTATGAAAAATACGAAGGTTTCATTACTTTTTTTTTTTTTTCCTTCTGTTGGGACCTTCCTTATGTACTTTTAAGATGCTTGAAGTGTTCTATAAGATTATAGATAGCTTTTCTGTCCAGACTTACGTTACGATGTTATGATATTAAGCCTGTTTGTTAACTCTTTCCTGATTAAATAGTAAATCTAAATAACATTTATTCCTCCACCTGAGTCAGTAGGTGATAGCTGTGAAATGGGCTATACAGTTCAGTGGTAACACTGGCAGAAAATTAATATTCTTTAAGTTAGCCTCCCCCGTTTAACAAAAAAGGATAAACTAAGTCTAGGGAGGTTGTGTGGTTCCTCTGCTATCACTACATTTATAAACACTGAAAGTCAGGAGAAGTGACCCTTCTGAATTCCTTTCACATTCCAGGTACTGTTCTAGAGATGCAAATAAGGAGTACGAGAGACGTGGTCACTGCTCCTAGGAGGCTTATGTTCTAGCTATTGTCATTATTACGAATAGGAAAAAGATACTAATAAGTGAAATAACTACATATTTTCCTAAGGATGCCAAAGGAAGTAAACAGGAAGCTGAGACAGAGAAAAATAATACGGAGGCCTACTTGAAGAAGGGTGCTCAGGACAAACCCCTCTTGAGCTTGGAGGCACCAAGCACACGGAGGTCCTGCTTTGGGAGGAGAGTTGAGTGTGTCTGAGGAATAGAAGGGATCACAGTGCTGCAAAGAGGGAAGGAGATAGTGGTCCACGATGAGTCAAAGGAACAGTCTGGAGCTCTGGGTCGTTCACGTCGCAGACTCTGTCCTCTTGTCTGATTGTAAATGACACAGAGGCACCTTGGTGGATAAAAACTCTGGAGCCTGGGAAAATAAAGGAACTATTCAGAAAGGTAGAAAGTCTTCAAATTTCTAGAAGGAAAGAAGAATCTGTGTCTGTCACCTTTGAGATTTACAGAGGGTCCCTTCCTCCCATTGTTCCTCTCACACATGATCAGAAGCCACTTTGTTTTCTTGTCAAAAGTCTGTGCCATATATTTTGCCTCTACTGAGATACCATAAAGACAATGTGGTCAGGAACGTGTGTGAGGCCAGAAAGATTTCTTTCCATGTCTTTAGACTCCACCTTCACTTTGGAAACATTTGGTAGAGAAGTTTAAGCTCTTTGTTGGGTTACTGTTCATTTTCTGTGCAGACGCTGCATGCTTGCTGACAGTCGGGTGTTAGCAGATGGGGCTTCGTGACCATGTAAAGAGTTGAGCAGACGTACTTGGGGCACATTCAGTGAGCTCTTGGACAACTTGCAAGGTGCTTTAGTTCAGACCAGAAATGGTAGGCTGTGTGACCTTCCGTGCAGATTGCATAGGTCCTGCCCTAAGACCACAGTTAGCGTTTATATCCGTCCGCCCTTCTTAGAGTGAACACGGAAGACAGTGTGGTGGCAGGAGATGCTTCATCTCTCCCTGAGCGGGGCGGGGGGGGGCGGCGCGTGGGCGTGTTTCCCCTCCCGGGTGAATGCAGTGGCAGTGCGGCTGGGCTGGTGCTATGCGTAGCCTTTGCAGGACTGGAAGCTTCCACTCGCTGTCTTTGGGGAATGTGTGCTTTTAGGATCCGGCTGCCATGCAAAGCAGTCAAGTTGGCCACCTAGAAGTTCCAGCTTTCTAGCCATCCCCACCAAAATGCCAGACCGATGGAGTGAGGCCTTGGATGTTCCAGCCCCGGAGAGACCACAGGCTGCCCCCGGTCAGTCCACAGACTCGTGAGAAGTAATGAATGTCTGTTGTGATCTTTAAGCCCCTGAGTTTTGGAGTGGATTGTTAGCCACAGATAACCCAAAAGGACAGTGTCCTTCATATCCAGTCCTGGGGAATGGAAGCTTGATGTGTTCAGCAGAGCCACCTCCCATAGGTAAGCTCGGGGGAGTGTGGGATGGCCGAGTGCTTGGACAGCTGTTTGCCCGGAACCTGGAGCAGGGTAGCGGCGCCTGAGATGGGCAGACCAAAGAGTTCAGGGATACACTTGGTGTGGACAGCTGATAAACAACTGCAGGGGCCCAGCAGAGTGGGAAGGGTGGGTGTTTTGCTCTCAGGAATGGAATTATTCAACTTGAAGGGAAAAGACAGTTTAAAGAAATGCATCGTTCCCTTGGAAGTTGCAGAAGGAGAAGTGTTCTTAGCCTAGGCCTGCACCAAGATCCAGTTCTTTGTTAAAATCTGGTTTAATAGGTGGGTAGTGAAGGACTTCTTCCAGGTAATAAAGAAAGGCTTCATGTGGAATGGTTGTCTTCATTTTCTTCCTTCTCAAATGCTGGTGGACTTCAGTGGAGTCAACTTTTGTTTACCGTGTCCCCTAGGCCTTTGTGGCTGTAGCAGTTAGTAAAATGCTTTGTCTGTAGTAGGTGCTCAGTAAGTGAGGTCAGTTTGGTTTCTATAATAATTGGATCCCTGTTACATGTGATTTAAGTAAACTTGCTCAGAAGCAAAATCTATTGTGTTTAAAAATCACAACAAACAGTATCAGTTGCAGACCATATACCTCCATACTTGAACACATGTTCTCCATGTTATGTGATTAACACCCCCCACCACATACAACACACACACACACACACACACACACACACACACACACACACAA